GGAGAGGGAGGGGGAGAGGGCGAGAGGCCGGGGCTGTGGCTGAGGGAAGTGAGAGGCTGGGGCTGGCATGGCCCTGGACTCTCCCCAGCAGCTGGGGCTGGCATGGCCCCTGGCCTTCCCCTCCCTGGCTGTTGGAGGGGCCGAAGAGGCCAGGGCTGGCACAGCCCCTGGGGGGAGAGCCTGGCTTGCTTACCCCCACAGACAGTGGTGTTGGCAACTGCAGTCAGCAGCAGGCACTGCCCCCTACTATGTGTGGTGTATATAAAAATATATAAAAGTGATATTACTTCTAAAGAAAATGATTAAAAGTTCTGACCTTTATGTTTATTTGCATCATACAGAACAGTAACCATGAGATAACAACAGCTTCTTTCCATTAGAGACAACATCAAATTGGCATAGCTAAAAAGAAAAAAAATAAATATTTGCATTTGTGATTGTTTTGTAAAGATTTGGTACATAGAGTACTCAAAATGTTCAGCAAAAAAGTTACACAATGTATTCCTGCACAGAACAGTACAAACATTCCCTTAAAATGCATATAGACTAATTTAACTGAGGAGGTTCTAGAGTAAAATCCTTTGTGGTATACACACAACATATGAAATCCTAAATAAAATTAATACATTTCTACTTTCAACACGTGCACATGCACAAACACAACAATTTTTATGTGAACTAACAAAAACAAGAAAATGAAAGCTGACAGTATTTAAGTCTGCAGTAGTCTATAGCTACTGTAAAGTTGCCTATATGGTATTGATTTTGTTAATTCACTGCATTTTCTACAAAGTCAGGACCATGTATTCAACTTAAGTTAATATCCAGTAGCAGGTAAGGTGAAGAGAGATATTCCTGGGTAAGACTGGAGGAGGGAAATAAAGGGGAAAAGAGGAGAATAAACAGGATGGAGTGAGGTGAAAATGGTGAAAACAGTGGAGACCCAAACAAACAAAAACATGAGAAGCATTTTCCAGATCTACCACTAGATGGGAACAGTAGGTTTGCTACTGCTGGTATAGAACTTAATAAATAAAGCCCTGTAAATCCACAGATATCCATGGATAGCTGCATCCACAGGTATGGATGAGGATATCCGCAGCTCATTTTTGCAAATACTGATGTGGATACACATTTTGTATCAGCACAGGGCTCTAATAAGTAATGTACTGTAGAACCTCAGAGTTATGAACAAACTCCTCAGGAATGATGGTTGTTTGTAAATCTAAAATATTTGTAATTCTGAACAAAACACTATGGTTGTTCTTTCAACAATTTACAGCTGAACATTGACTTAATACAGCTTTGAAATTTTACTGTGCAGAAGAAAAAATACTGCTTTTAACCACCTTAATTTAAATTAAATAACCACAGAAACAGTTTCCTTCTCAGATTTTTTAAACCTTCCTTTTTTTAGTAGCTTACATTTAACATAGGACTGTATTTACTTTATTTATTTTTGTCTCTGTTCCTGTGTGATTAAGTTCCAAATTAGGCATGTGGCTGAGTGGTCAGTTTCTGACTCTGAGATTCTACTATATAGTCCTTATGCCAAAATGGTATTGTTTGTATTGGCTAGACCATTTCTAGAAAGAAACACTGTTTCCAAACATAGTGTTCAATTATTCTAGTTGCCATATGAGGCAAAGGAGGACTTAGCCAGGATATATCAGAGTTTAAGATAAGTGAGGGATGGCTGATTAGTCAATGCCCGGAAACTAGGCCATACCTGTCACAACAATCAGAAAATACATCAGAAAGAAAACCATAATAAAATAAACACATTACTTACCGTTCTCTGTCACATGGGTTAATGGCTACTAGGGATCCTCTGTCCCAAATCCCATCAAACTTGCCAACAATGGCACTATAAGTAGCAGGAAGGAAAAATATTAAAAAATAAAATAATCTTGTTTATAATTCGACCGACACACTTTTGCAAAAGTGAAAACTCTCTAATATGCTCTGCACGTACATAGTGGACTGATACGCTGCTATGGTCTAGGCAAGGGTCGACAATCTTTTCAAACTAAAGAGCCAAACTACAACAAAATTCAGAACAAGTGGTCAACAAACAGCCAGTACAAGAATGCCCATGTGCATGGCTGATAATATACAATTTATAGATACTGACATAATGATTAATATAGCATAAATGAAACATTGTACACACAGACTTTATTTAATGGGACTTCTGCTGCTATTGGGGGTGCAGGAGTGAGGGTTGGGATGTATGAGGGGCTCAGAGCAAGGGGTTGGGATGTGTGGGAGGTGAAAGAAGCAGGGCATGGTGCTGGGGGTGGGGAGTATGTGGAGAGGCCCAGATTACCTTTCCTGGCAGGGGCTGGACTGCTGTACCTGGGCAGTAGTGGCTGGATGAGGGACCAGGCCAGGATCGCCGCAGCACAGCCTTATCAAAGGGTAGCAGAATCATTCCACCATTTCTATACCACCCAGAGGTGACCTCTACATATGTAATATTCCTGTCTAATATGCAGCTTCCTGTCCCCAGCCTCAATCCTGGGACAGGCCCCACTGTCTGGCCCCCATCTGGCCACAGCAAAGGGCGCGGGAAAGGGCGCACTGCTAGCGGGCTGCCGTGGGAGCAGACACACTGGGGCCCAGCTCCAGTTCCAGAACATAGGGCAGCAGGGATGGCCAAGAGAGTCATATTTGGCTCGCTAGCCATAGGTTATCTACACTGGTTTAACTCCTTAATGCTACAAAATATTTTGAAATGGGCCTCAAGGAATATTACATATGTAGAGGTCATCTCTGGGTGATATAGAAATGGTGGAATGATTCTGCTACCCTTTGACAAGGCTGTGCTAGGGTTAAGAGGAGACCCAAGAGACATTCAAATGCCACCCAACTGATTAGCAGAGTGCCTACAGCATGTTTTTGGATTCTGACCTGTAACCCTATCCTGTACTTCTCTGTCTGGTGCAATGAGACATGAAACATGACTTGTTTTCTTTCAGAGGTCTGCAAGGAGAGGCATTCACATTACTATTTGCCTTCTACATGCACTTACAATTGGCTTTTAAATAGAACATCTCACAATCAAGACATGATATTTCAGAGCCAATTTAAGTAGGGGAATAGCACAGTGTAGTTAACAGTGTCCTAGATTTGGATTCATGAGCTTTGGGTTCCATTTCCACCTCTGCCACTGCCCTGCTGTATAGCTTTGGGGAAGCCACCTCACCTCTTTGTGTTTCTGTTTTTCCTCCTACCTCTTGCCTGTACTGTCTAATTAGACAGTAAACCCTTCGGAGCAGGTACTGTTTCCCACTGTATTTATATAGCACCTCGCTGTCCAAGATCCCTAATTTTGGTTGCGAATTCTTGGGACTACTGTAACACAAATGATAATGATACATAAAATAATTGCTTTTTATCAGGGTTGGGCAACTGTAAGTCAGTAGAAGGCCATACAAAGGACTAAACCCCTTTGGAATTGCAAAGTATGTGACACAGGTGTGTGTGTGTCTTGGCCCGCTCTGACTGTGGAATCTGTGATGCAGATAAGGGGAAAAGTGGCAAGAAGAGGAGTCAGGCCCAGTCCTGGAGGTACATGATGGAGGAATCTTGGCGAGGAAGGTCCTGCCCCTATCTGGTGAGAGACCCCAGGAGGATAGGTGACCCTGCCTTCCACACACCTTGGCAGAAGTGGCTCGTGTGCCACAGCTCTCAGCCTAGCTCCATGCTCCAGCCCATTGCTCTAGGGATGTAAATGGTTAACCACTAGGGGCTGAGCAGCTTCCCACTTGCCCCAGGCAGGGTGCTGCACCAGCCCCGTGGGGCTCACCGCAGGCAAGGGCTGCTCAGGCAGCCCCTGTCTGTGGTGGGCCCAGCCCGGCCCCCTGCCACAAGTTACATGCTAGCACTCCGAAAGTGGGTCTGCTCCCAGGGAACCGGCTTTGCTGAGGTAGGGAAGTCTCCCCGGGAGTGGGGTCAGCAGAACACAGTGGGAAAATTCTCTAATCTTCATACTGCAGCACGTGTAACCACTAGGAATTTTAGCAGTTACACAGTTACACTTTTAAATGATTTTTTACATCCCTACTTGCCACTTTTTTTATGTTATGGAACACTCCTCATGATGCCTTGCTCTCTTCCTGCCCTTGACATTGCTGAATCTCCAGCCCTAAGCTATGTTGTGGGCTGTCACATAAAAAGATGTGGCAAGCCAAATGTTACTCCTGGGCTACCAGCTGCCTACCCCTGGTTTAAAAATTGTTTCTAGGCCCAATCCTGAAAAATCACACTCAAGCAAAAATCCCGTTGATTTATGGCAACATTTGCCTCTATCAGGGCTGGTGTGTTTAGTTAGTACTCAGATTATAAAAAGTTTACAATCTTCCATTCAGAATTGTTATGAGCCTCAGTTCATTGCTTAGTTTAACTGCTTTACATACAACACAGCATACCTGCAAAGAGTAATAATTCTTGTCATTAATTAACCCCCCCCCCCCCAAAAAAAAAGCCTGAATTGTCTCATTTGAGCACATGCTCAAACCATGTTATGAATTTAGAACATAAGTGACTAATCACAGGCCAGCTGACAAAAGAGCCAAGTAAGCTTATCTCCCAGCTACTAATCATGTACTACCCATATTATGTGTGAACAGAGCCACAATAGTCTTCAAATTGTTGTACTGAAAGAAAAGTGTTCACACTTTTACCACTCTTTTAGAATATTGCATAAGAGTGTCTTACTAAAAAACATCACAAATTAGAAATGTAGGAAAAAATGTACAAACATGTACGTGCCTGTTTATTTTGTCCTCTGTTGGTAACAGATCATATATTCTCACTTTTTGGACTACTGATTCACACTAACAGCACTGCTATTTTTCCTACACATTTTGTTTTACTTTGAAATATCATTCCATATTGGTATGTGGGAGGTTTTAAATTTTGCCATGTTATTTGCACTATATTTTAAAAATAAATTACTTTTTCCACTTTGGATAGGACATATTGACTATTTATTTATATTAAAGAAGCCATTATTGCAAGGGCAGCATAATTACACAAACAAAAAAGAACTAGCTAAGTCATACCAAAGCTTAGTGACAATTTGTTACATTATAACTTTGGATATTAGGATTGAATACTTCTCCATTTATCCAAAGTATAAATATAAAATATCTTAGAGCCAGCATTACATTCCAGTCTCCTAATCTGCAAATTATGCATTTTCTTTCTAGTGGCTCTGACACTGATAATTTACAAAGATAAATGATTGATTTCCTCATAGTACTGTAAAGCTATGGGTTAATACTGCTCATATTAATAGCCTGCTCCTGCAGTTCATATTGAGGCAAAACTCATCAACTCTAAAGGGAGTTTTATCTAAATAACAACTGCAATATTGGTACTATCCTCCGGTTGCTGAATGCCCTTAACTCCCTGTTTTCTGGTCTGGCGGAACACTATTCAGCACATGATCAGAGGCAAGAAAAGTGATTATAAGTTTCCTTTTGTATCTTCCTCTGTGCTGGAGAACGCAAAGTTGCATAGGTGGCTTCGTAACACCCAGTGATTGCCTGGCACAACTGAAAGACTCCACTTGGTGGATCTGCAGCTCTGAACCAGAAAACGGGTGCGAAACTGCCTTAATGGACTAGTAACTCTGGCCCACTGGCTGCTCTGAATACTGAGAGAGCATTCAGCATTATGAAGGACTGAGTCAGTAGCAAAGAGGCAAGGCTTGATTTGGAAAGATGCTGAATCACAGAATCTCTCACACTATATTACTGTGGGGCAGATGACAACATGCTCCACTCCCACTGACCAGGCAAAGTTAAAGAACTCCTGGGATCACAACAAGCCCCTACCCCTCACACCTCTGAGGTGTGTCTGGCCTGGAGGCAGGCTCTCAAAAGGGAGGAAATCAGTACAGTAGAGCTAGCAAGAAGAGCCAGGGTTTAAAGCTCCCAAACTGGAAGCACTCGCTGACCTAAGGCTTTCAAGTGAGGCCTGCCTGAGCCTTCTGGAGAAGCAGATGATTTGGGCTTATGTTGTATCACAATCCCATCATGATTTAGTCATAACCTTTACTCATTTTAAGGAACTGAGAATGCCTATTAGCCCTGAGAGTCTACTTCCCTCTCTCTTGCATTTTCGTTATGTATGGACTGCTTTATAGCCGCTGGAACAGGGTAGATTCATACAAGATACAGCTGCAGGGCAGTATTCTGCACCCCAGAAACAGACCACATGGTTGTGGCTGCTTGTAACCCGGGGTCTTAGCCTATGAAAATCAGAGTTGCAAAAGCTCAGTGCTTCTTATAATGTTGTCCTTGCTTCTCAAATGTCTTTGGCTAGTTTAGACAAAACAATCTAAAAATACGTTTTTAAAAATTGGATTGTGGAAGCATGTTATTCATTCTTACCTGTTCACATCATAGATACTGCAACAGTACAGAGAAATGTTCCCAGAGGTACTCTATAATGAAAAGCAGGGAAACAGCATTAGTGAACCACATAGATCTCTATATAAAAACCCAAGTGGGGGAAGAATTAAGAGAAATGTTCTTTTACTTTTTCCTTATTGAAGTACCGCAAGGCCCTATAACTGCTGTCTCACTACTATTACGTGGTGTAGACTAAAAGGCTTTGATTCATCAGAGAGAAAAGGTGGGTGAGGTAATGATTTATTGGACCAACTTCTGTTGGTGAGAAAGACAACTACTACTTTCCAGCTACTCAGAACTCTTCTTCAGGTCTGGGAAAGATACTCCCTCCCAGTGTCACAGCTAAATATAAGGCTAAACAGGTAGTTTAGCATAAGAATTTAGCACATAAGGGACCAATCATGGTTAAGTGGCCTGTTAACACTCCTGTAGCCATAGGACAAAAAGGGGGTTAGGGGTTACAGACTGTTAATAAGTCATAAATCCAAGTCTGTATTAAAGGCAGTTATACATTTAAAACACTGCATCAGTGCAGCCTTGCTGCTGTAGTGCTTAAGTAAAAACACTTTTACAGCAACGAGAGAGTTTCTCCTTGTCAAATGTACTGAATCTACTTCCATGAGAGGAGGTAGCTGTGTAGTCTGGAGAAGCTCTCCCATTGACACAGAGCTATCCATGGATTTTAACTGAACAACCTCACACACAAAAATGAAAGGAAAAAAAAAATCACACCATCTGTGGATGAACTTTTCATTTGACCTATTAGTTCTCATACTCAAAGGAAATGTGCAAAACAGTTTTCAAAGATGAGGCAGGGAGCTTACATTCACAACTTCGCTAGACTCTAAAATCATGGTCTTAATAAAACAATGAGGAGTCCTGTGGTACCTTAAAGACTAACACATTTATTTAAGTATAAGCTTTTGTGGATCAAAACTACTTCGTCAGCTCTGTGGTGTGGAAATCTCAGAGGTCAGGATATCCCAGCTGACAAAGTGATTTTGACCCACAAAAGCTTATGCCTAAATAAATCTGTAAGTCTTTAAGGTGCCATAGGTCTCCTTGTTGTTTTTGCAGATACAGACTAACGTGGCTACCCTTCAGAGACTGATCGTAATAAAACACTGGTTTTATGGCTTATTATAACAATCCATAACCCACTATGCTCCCTTTATGTTATTAATGGTCCATTTTACCTTGAATGGTCCTTTAGACTAAGTTTAGCATAAACAGTCAGCACAATCTGTTCAACGTTGTATTTAGCTGTGAGGGCGGCAGTATCTTTCCCAAAAAGCTTATCTCTCTCACCAAAAGAAATTGGTCCAATAAAAGATATTGCTTTAGCCACCTCTCTCTACTCTCGTGGGACCAACTAGGCTACAACACCACTGCATACAACTGATATCATCAGGGTTTTTAAGCAAATGTTTAATTTTAAGCACATGAAGAGCCTCTTAAATATCTTGCTGAATGAGGGCCAAACTAAATAACAGCTTGAGAACAGTCCTTCTATATAAAAAATTTCCTGTGGGATGATAGAGTGATGTAAGCATGTCGCTCTGCATCCCACTGCCCCCCCTCCCTCCTCAGCTGCCCACCTCCACCCTTCCTGCTGCTAACCCAACAGGGATCGGCAGCCTATGGTGCCCGAGCAAAGCAGCACTGATGATAAGCTGCTGCTGCTGGTGGGCTTGTGGGAGGGATTGCAGTGCTCCAGCCCCAGCCTTGCCCTCCTTGGAGGACAGAGGGGGTGGGAGTGGGGGAAGCCAGGGCTACCTACCCCCCAGAAAGGGGGGTTGGCAAGCACAGCAAGCAAGGGGTACTGCCCCCTAGTTATCCAGTATAAAATTCAACTTCATCTTTCATCTATTCTAAAGAGGAGTCCCAAAAGAAGGGAAAAGACAAGACAAAGAAGCTCTAAATGGCTGAAGACTGTCTTGACCTGCTCAGCTATCCCTGAGCTGCATCATTAAGTATGTAAAAAGATTTGACCATGCAAGCACAAAACAAACCTTAAACACTTTGGCTCCAGAATTCCCTGGGACTGGTTCTTCAGAATAAGGAAGATTCTGTTCTGTGAAAAATTCTTTCAGTGCACATTCACTGAGTTCCACACCAATCACAGAGTGTCCCATGTCAGCTAACCTAGGCACAGCAATAAAAATTTTCAAGTTTACTTTGTTATTTGTGATTTGTGATTCCTTTGTGATTTTTTACATAATTTTGATACCCCATCTTGAGGTAGAAAATGGATGAGTATCTCTTACAGAACAGTGTTTTATTTCAGCAATTTTTTTCAGAATCCAGGCTCTTGTGAGATAGGATTTACAGGCAGTCCCCGAGTTACGCGGATCCGACTTATGTCGGATCCGCACTTACGAACGGGGCCCTCTCCCTGGTCTCCAGCAGACCAGGGAGAGGAAGCAAAGCGCCATCTTGAGGTAGAAAATGGATGAGTATCTCTTACAGAACAGTGTTTTATTTCAGCAATTTTTTTCAGAATCCAGGCTCTTGTGAGATAGGATTTACAGGCAGTCCCCGAGTTACGCGGATCCGACTTATGTCGGATCCGCACTTACGAACGGGGCCCTCTCCCTGGTCTCCAGCAGACCAGGGAGAGGAAGCAAAGCGGCGGAACACGCGGGCA